GGAATGTTTTAAAACAAAGAGATTTTTTTTTAACATTTATTCCCTTTTGACTTTCTTTTGACCGCAGGAACAAAAGGACACTTGTTTTCCTATTCTTACTTGGCCAGAATACAAATCAAAATAGCAAAATAACTACTGCATTTGGAAGGTGGCAGCTTTAATAAATCAGTTAAATACTTCAGAGTTCATAATTCTTCCTTTTTTCAGTATGGAGAATTTTTTATGAACACTTTAATGCTTTACCTCGAATATTGCCTTGAAGACTTGAGACAAAGTGCAGCACTGTTCTGTTTATAGTAGCTGCAAAAAATTACTGGTTTCCTCTGTAAATCACTGGAAATGATTAGAAGTATGCATTTTTCAGCAAAAATAACATTGCATTGTATTATTTTCTTGGATTTTTTTTTTGAAGGAAGGCTGTTTTGGAGTGCTACAAACAAATGAATAGTTGTTGTTATGGACTGTTATTAAAATCATTTAGATGTTGCTTTAGAATGGTGTGTGTTCCCTGCTCCAAAGGATCTGTCATCATACTCCATCTTAGTAAGTCGCTGAAATAGCATTAGCTTATAGCTATGCAAAAGTTTAAAATTTGATGAAGTAACAATTTATTGTGCAAGGCGACTAGTGGCACTGGTTCTGCATATTTTAATGGAAGTATAGATTATTCATTCAAACAAGGCTAAATGGAAATGGTGACAGTGCACTGTCGGTGATGTTACTGCAGAAAGATCCCTTTAAGAAATAAAACCCATGTTCTATGGCTGAATGTGCCTCTTCTCTCCATGCACGGTCCCCCAAACAGTTTAACTGAACCTATCAAAATTTAACTTCAGTAGAGCACAGCTATAGCTTGTAGTTCAAATGGAATTTAGAACCGCTATGAATGACCTTGGTAATTGACACCATCTATAGTTTGAACTTCCATGAACTCACCTTTGTAGTCTTATTCCTAAGGGTATGGCACCAGCCTTACTCAATTTTGAATTTTATAAGTATAACCAACTTTGATCTTTCATGTGATACGTGGAAAACGATGGCACTTTTTTCCAAAGGAATAATGAAGTCTGAAAACTTGGTATTTGTGACACATAGAAGTACAGAGCAGAACTATAAGCATGTAGCAAATAGATATTTCATCATACGCGCCCATTGTAGAAATATCAAAAAACCAACACCTCCCTCAAACAGTGCATCTGACAGTGGGTGCGTTGTATTTTTTGTTCTCAGGCTTTATTGCTAATCCATTTGCAAATGGGCAGGCACGAGGAGTATGGGGGATGGTACAGTAGTCAGGCTCTCTTCCCTGCTGTGTTATCCGATGAAGGGGTGCTTTTCGAGTGACCGTGTGTCTTGTGGCTGGGAGTCAGGTTTGGGAGTCTGATATTAGCAGCTCCGTTGTTTCAGAAAGCAGAGAGCTGGGCTGTTGGTGGACGGTTTCTTTAGGGATCCTGCAGCAGGATTTCTCACAATCCTTTGCATGGCTTTGGGATTTCCTAACATTGCATGTTTGTAGGGAATGTCATTTTTACCACGATACTGTGGGAGTTTTTCTTCTCAAGTGTTTATACTATCCCCCTGCAATGGGAGCTCTTTCTCCTCCCTGTTACAGTCATAATACACTTGCATCACTTGTGTTAGGTTTTTAATTCCTTTTCTCTCCTGAAAAAGCACTCCATATACTTCTGGAGTTCTAGGAATAGTAGTAAAAAGAACCCTATTCCTCCTCCTCTTGGTCGCTTTTCCCTTGTTTCTTCATCTTGTACTTCATCTAGTACTTTCTTCCACTCTTTATTAGCAGAGAGGAGCTGGGGGAAAGAGGGAGTCCCCTTCTCTAGATTACTAACGCTCAGGTAGGATGTAATCTAGTTCTTGAATCCAGGAGCTCTGCAGAAGGATGTTGGAACTGGCCGCATCAAAGGAAGAGGTTGAAGATGTCTTGCATTTGGGTTGCTTTTACAGCCTTCTCTGAATGTGTCAACATAAATCCAAAACGAGTCAATTGCAAAAGGAATTTCCCTGTGTAGAACAGTGCAAAATAAAGGAGATTCGGATTGTTAAACAGGCTATGTAATTCCACTTGTTTTCTGTATAAATAATCCTATTCTTTGGTCATGGATCAAGTCAAATAATACTTTTTTTTATCCTAGATGTTTGTGGCAAAGCACTGTCTAACTCTTACGTCTCAATTTCTTCACTCCGTTGGAAAAGGTTTTCTTTGATAGTGTGTCAAAGCTTATTGAAGTTCTTGACATTAACTACTATCTTAAATATAAAATATTGCATCCTAAAGTTGTCTCACTCTAGTTTATGTGACTGTTTTCTTTTGTCTGGGAATTCTACAGACATGTTGTAAGGCAGCTGCAGTTGGAAACCTGCTGCTGTGTCTTGGAAGCCAGCTGAAGTATCATTCTTTGCATGTGCTTTCAAACTACTATTTGGCTGAAGCAGCATAGTGATTCTTCAAGTCTGATATGTCAGAGTGTGCTGATGAGGAACTGTTTAACTGAGGTGGTTTATTTAGTCAGTCTTGTTTAAACTGTTTTGACCATTCAAGCTGGTCTGACATATCTGTGCAGAGCCAGGTCTCATTGCAATCCTACTTAAAGGCAGTTTGGAGGCTATTTTCTTTTAGGACTCATGTTTTGGCCACAAAGGGACCTAATTCTGTCTTCTGAGGTTTTGTTGATTTGTTATAAACTGAATAGCAATAGCTGGGTACTTTACATTAGCAAGAGTAAGCTCTCAAATGTGACAACACTTCTAAACTAGAATAGCATATTGCCCAGTGGAGGGAACACAGTAACCAAGCACTCCAATCTGTATAGACTGTGTTTTTTCACCTTGCTTTTGTGGTTGACTTTGGGGAGTAGGGTACCTATAGCTACCTCAGTGATCAGACTGGGCTCTGGGCATACTATGCCTTGCTGGTTGTATGTGCTCACTGCTACCTCAGCTGCTATTGTTTTTTTCAGTATTAAGGAGGACATGATTTAGACCGATAGTCTTGGGGTAAAACACTCAGTGAAATTGGATAAAGGTGACTATAAGCATTTCTTACAAAAGGGAAGACCCTGCCCCCCAGTTCCCAACTTCATGGATCAGACCAAGTCATACACTTCATGCTGGTCCATTCCTACTCAGATGCAAACCAGGAATGGATATGGCTGGCAGCATGTGGCTCAAATAAAGTAAAATCTGCTAACCCTAACAAAAATTGAGATTTGTTGCTAAGCACCTATTTCCTCTAATATTCCTTTCCCAGTGTAACGATTCCTGAATCTTGAAAGCTCTGTTTGTAGTATAAATTGAAGTCAATAGCTTTGATAATAGAATTTATTTCCATAATCCAGTCTTCTATGGATAAAGGTTTAAATCACTTAATAGAGCTTACTTAATATTATTTACTCCTTGACCTCATTAGGAAAAGATGGAAACTGCACTATCCTTACAAGCTGCAAACTCTTCGACACTGTGATTGCTGTTCTGATTGCTGTTTGCATTGACAGCTGCTGTACTGAAAAGAAAAGGAAGGGAAACGTGAAACCTGGGGGCCGTGTGTGATACAGTATCGCCGTGCAGTACAGCATGAATCCACATTGTGTGCGATTACCAGACAGTAAATCAGCTGTGCTGTGCTAGAGCCAGAAACCAGTAGCTTTCACGCTTGCTGCCTGTTTCCCACTCATTGTAAAGCCCTGCCCTATCACTTGATAGACCTGGAAAGGAAGCGCAGGGGAAGCGAGTGCCACTGCTGGTTCAAAATGTTCCAGGGCAACTGGAAAGTTTGAGCAATGGCCTGGGTGAGAAGAACAAGACCTTATTGACAGGGTTCAATCCTAGTCAAGTCTGTTTCCCATCAACTTCCTACGTAATCACAGCCTTTCTTTTTTCATCTCCTTTGCACTCACTGGGTCTCCAACTTTCACCTCCTTTATATTTTATATATTTATTTTAGTGGACTGAGCAACCAAGGAGAATTGGGAAGTTTTCTTCCCTCTGATCCACCTCTGCTAAATCCTGGAGTAATTACTAATGAAAAAGATGACAACTACATTAAAGGTAGTTGTCATCCCCGCCTTTTGCCCCCATGTTTCTCCAGTTTCCATTGCCTATTCTTTGGATTTCTCCTTCCGATAGTCTTATTTTTTTCATTTGATGTACAGAAATATATACTCTTCCAGTCGTGCCATGGCACATGTGGTCATAGACTGATGGCTGTTGGGTTATGGCACTGCAAAGTCATGTGAACACACACATACACATGTAGTGGGAGAAGTATGCAAGCTGAGACTTTCTTGGTTTCAAGCTCTTCTACACTGTGTAAGACTTTATGAAACACTTATACCAAAGTCACTCATTTTTTCTGATGCTGCAATTTTAAACATACACCAACATGCCCCCTGTACACTGCACCGTGCCATTTTGCATAGACTTAGGCATGATTTTGCCATCGGTGTAGTAAGCAGTCTCCACCGGCAGTCCTGCTGCTCTAGGACCTCCTAGTGCATCTCAAATTTCATACTTCAGTATGTTATTTTCCTTAGGCTGTCTATGAGATGAGAAAAGCTCATTTAACCTGAGGTGAGAGGTGTTGCTCTGGAGAAACATGCTTTCAGAAAGAGGACCAGAGAGATGTCTGTTTAGTTTTACATTTAAATGCCTCTGGCCATGATCACGGCAGAGCAGATCCACATAACGGAGTTAAACATGTAAGCATAGGGGGCATCTTGTGTTTTTGTGGTCTTTCTGTAGCAAGTCAATTGACTCTGGTGAAATACTCTCACGTATTAAAGGAACAACTGGTTCAAAAAGTCAGTGAAAAATTGCAGACTCTTTGGGCTGAATTGGTTAGTGTGCACTCTTCTGGAGGGGTAAACTTTGCTGGGTTTGTGATGGTGCATACACATTTGTAAGGATAATAAGACTTATTGTATTTGGTAATCCTGGCAATAGTGATGCCAGGAAAATCATCTTATTTCAGGAAAACATGCGCTAGCATGTATTTTGAAGTATTTGCTTTTTGGGAGTTTAATAGTTAAAGTTGACAAGGATTTAAAAGGAAGGAAAAAAAACCAAACCCAAAACCAACCCAAACTCTCAACCCTCAATAACATATAAAATGTGAAAATGGCTTGTATTCTGTAGTATAAATATAGGGTGTGCTAGGGATGTTTTTGAAAACTCAGTTGGTCAGGGAGGCAGAATTATTGTTGCCTTCGGAAGGCTTGTGGAAGGAGCGTGTGTGCAAGGGAGATGCAAGTGTGACAGTGCTACAGAGGCACGTCGGTTTGCAGAGTATGCCAAGGTTGCACCGATTTTTCTAGAATGTTTTTCCTTCCCTATCTCCAAAATAGTTCAAATTCAATAACTGTGGTTAGGATATTTTGGAAAGACGTCCCCAGGCACTTTATAATGTAACTTGGGAAGAGATTCAAGAGACAGGAGTTCTCAACCAGCATTTGTAAGCAAGTTATCTTAAAATATACTGCTGCTTAATGTAAAATAAACCAAAAAGCATCTATAGTATTTTTAGGTGAGTGTATAAATCTGGAGAAATCAAAGTATATGCTTGTTAGCCAGTCAACTCGCTGCAAATTTTTTTTTTCTTCCCTTTTTTGAGACCTTAACCAGTCCAAATCTCTCAGGCCCACTCACTATGTTTCTAATATTTTCCTATATCTTATTCTTCCCAGGATGGATCGTACTTGGCTGAGTTCCTGCTGGAAAAAGGCTACGAGGTGAGTGACTCGGTGACCGACTGCAGGCTGATGGAGTCGTTTGGATGCTGCAGCTCCCGCTTCCTCTGCTTCTGTCCTTCTCTGTGTATGTTTTCCACTCCAGCCCTAGATAACAAATCAAAACTCCAGAGAGGAATGTGCAACATGGCCTGTAATCATGCCAGCTTATTGTACTATTTATCATCTAACGTCCACTGGTGGATTCCCTCTTCTCCTCAGGGTATAGCTGCTTTGCATGTTTCCCGCCAACTCAGATAAGCAGCGACCTGTGTGAGCCAAAACTGTAAGGAATTAGGGAATAATTTATGATGCAATGTACCACATAAAGGAATAAGAATCTCTTGTTTGTTCTCTTCCCCCCTCTCTCTTTCCACACTAAAGGCCCTTTTATTTTGGCAGTTATACTTCAGCAAAGAAAACCTTGCATTTTGCTGTGTCTGTTTAAAAAGCAAAAAAACCACCCCCAAAACCCAAAAATATACTTTGATTGTGTTACTTTCCACCCCTTCTCTTGGATAATTATATTCTTGCTTAGCACATGATTTTCATTTACCTTTTCCTTAAAATAAAGGGAGTCTGATTCCTTACTTCTTGCTGCATAATTTTCCCTGGCAAAAATGTCTTTTTTTTGTGGCCCAGCCAAGCAACAATCACATTATTATGGTATGATTTGATGGTTTTGAACTGTTGTGGGCATATATGTGGGAATGTTTGCCTTCTCAGTCATGAAAGATGCTTCCAAAATGTATGATAATGGAAGGAAAGGGGTGGTCAGATTAATCTCCCCACAATGTAGTATTTTCTGGGTTTTTAGTAAAAGCTAATGCTCGTTCTAATATTGGATTTTATTACTTCTGTTGTAATACTGATTCATAGCTTAGTGAGAAGTCTCTTCTCAGCCAGTCTGTGCTTTCCGTGCTTTTGCACGCGGTTAACCTTGCCTTGCTTATTCCATTCTTTCTCCTGCTTTGTTGATTGATCTGCTTATTCGTGTTGGTTTTCCAGAGTTGTAAATTGATTATTTTTACTATTTCTCCATTCCATTTGGGGAAGAGAGATATCATTGTGGTTGCTTCTGCTGCTTTAAAGGCAAAAGCACATGCTCTTTCCTAGTCCACAATGAAATTGGGAACTGCTAACTGCAACTAAAATGAAATATAACCCTTTCCACAATAGAAAGGTTACAATAATTGGGTAGAAGGTTTTTTTTTCTTCTGTTCCTCTGTTCTCCATCTATTTGTTGGAATTCTTTCCAGTGTTCCCAGTTAGAGACCTCTGTTCCTGAATAACCGAACACAAGAGTACATGTGATAACTGATTGCATCCCTAACTAAGGTGGTTCATTTGACTTTTTTTTTAATTTCAGTCTATTTAAAGATCAAGCCCTATTGAGAAAAATCCACTGATCTTACATTCTTAACTAGATTAACCAGTTTGCACGCATTTTGGCTTGTCACAAAGTTTGCATTTCACCTGTCCCATGCAGACAAAGGTACCTTTCATCATTTTTTTTTTTTACGGTAATATTGCTGTCATGGATTAAGCATTTGGCAGGTTTTCTTTCTCTTGTATGTGCATACCAGAAAGAGGAGTGGGAGAAAAAAAAAAGAAAAAAAGCTGGGTTTGCATGTTTTCTTGTTATCGCTGGATACAACAGGCTCTCTGGATTTGTTTGTTTGCTGAAACTTTTTGAAGTCCTGGGGTGACTGCATTTAGCACATCTCACCCAACATTTGACCGATATCACAGTCATTCAGCTGACACAAAGGTCTTGCAAGCACAACCCTTCATCAAACTTTGAGCTGGCAGGATTTGACTTATTGGTCAATTGTTTGTGTGAACTTGAATTTCAGCATGACTTCATTCAGAGATAGATAATTGAGAGCTCAAGAAGTTTCTCATCAGGACTTTAAGCCAAATATTTAATTTTGCCAGAAGAGTTGTAGAGCACTTCAGTTAGCTTCCTTTAGAATAATTTGATGCTTTAAAACTGCAAAGTCTGATTTTTACTCAGCAAAGCAGATGTTAATTTGAGTACTCAATATTTCCAGCGTCTTTTGCAAAAGTGAAGTTGTTATGGAAATGTCTTTTTTTGAAAGTGTTTCTCTGTAAACCTTATGTCCCTATAAATTATCCACACATTCTATAAATAATTATTTTGATGGGGCTTTTAACTACAAAACTTTGAAAACTTATCTTTGTAAATTCATTACTTGATAGAAATTTCTTTTGGGGGGCCGTGTTTCTTAGTTCCCCATTGATCCTCAAAATGCAAATATTTTACTCAGTTGTGGGAAGTTTAACGTTTGAATTCTAGAACAAGGTATGTTGTGAGCCTGTTGTGTGGCTGGGCACCCAAGAGATTTTATGCAAGGAAATTGGCGTCATAAATTTGACTTGTAAGTTGTAAAGATAAAGCTATTCGGCTATTATTAGAGATCTTGCCACCAAAGTGTAATTCTTAAAGCAGCAAACTGGTCTCACTCTGCGGTTGTGCATACCTTTTTACTCAGTTAAGTTTCAGACTTAAGGTGAAATAAAAAGTGTTTTCTGTGTCAATAACCATAGCTTGTGTTATGTGTAAAAGAAAAATCCCCAAACAAAACCAAACCAAACCCCCAAACGCTGCCTGTTCCTGCTGGTATATTCTCTCAGGTACAAGTTAACATGAAGTGAGAGAGTAAAGTGATGGCCCAACCCAATCAAGTGTAGGGTGCATCAAAGTGTAAGGGATCACTTTCAGAAATAAAGGTCAGGGAGAAGTGGAGGACAGTCAGTCAGATGCTGAAGCTTGGTTTCACTTGTGCAGGCACAACTTCTGCAGCTGGTAACCTAAGCTAATGTGAATTTTGGCAGCAGGCATGGGGCTATCTTACATAAGGAGGAAACGGGATCACTGTTTGAACAATTTCTCTAATGTATTAGACACAAACAGGCTTTTCTTTAATGTTAGTCAGAACCAGTGGGTTTTTTCCACTGACTTATTTATCATGGCTGGTTAAAGGAAATTCCCAACCTGCGTTTCAGGCCTTAGGCTTGCCTGTGTGTCTTGTTACCCACCGGAGAACACTGACTCATGAGGTCCACAAAACAGGACTGACTGTTCTGGCTGTTCTTCCAACACCCCAGAAAGTGAATAACAGCTGTTTTCTAAAATATATTTGGGCCTTGCAGCTGCTGCCCCTTCTTTCCCCTTGTCTTTTTCTTCCCTTCTCTCCTCTCTGCCCCCTCTCTCCTTTCCCTAGCCCCATCTCCTGCTGCTGCTTTTTCCATGCCCATCATCTCTGGCTCCAGAAAGATTTCTCTGCAACCAGGGAGAAGTGGTTATCTTGGGATTCACATATTGCTGCTTCAACTCCGGTAATGTTGGCAAGTCTCACTCACTAGGAGATGGTGCTCTAGGGCAATTCAGTGTGTTTTCTGTACTGTGTATGATGCTTGGGCTGCTAGTGGTGTCAACAAGGGAGAAGGTGAAACTACTCAAGGGTACTAACATAAACATGACGGCATCAGAGCTCATCTCAAAGTATTTTGTTACAATTTGGATAACTGTCTGCTTTTAGGAATAGAGACAAGCTCTGATTACCTGATATAAGGGTTAGGCCCATGTATATGAAAAGAGTGATGATGACACTTTCCTTTTAATGTTTACCACTTTCCTTTTATATTTTTCCTTGTTCAATCCCCAGGTGCATGGCATCGTTCGTCGGTCTAGTTCTTTTAATACAGGCCGGATTGAACATCTCTATAAGAACCCACAGGCTCACATTGAAGGAAGTAAGACCTTGTTTTTATATTTAAGGCGTGTGTTTTTTTTTTTAGTCTGTGGTATGTGTTTGGTGGAGAAAGGTCCCGGGAGCAGGAAGGGAATCCCAGTTTCCTCTACCTAAATGTTATTAATGAGTAGTTATTTTTAAGCTGTGCTTGGCTTAGGATTGGTTATTTAAAACAAAAACCAAACAAACAGAAACACTTGATAGCTAAGCTTCCCTTTTCTCTGCTTGTGTTAGCTAGCTGCTGTATCTCAGAAAGAAAAATGACGATTTTTCTCTGATGAAAACGTGACACAAAGTATAGATACTCTTGTGTGTGTGAGTTACCAAGAGGGGAAAATATGAGGGAGGCCCAGGAAGGCAGTTTCTGTTGCATAGAAATGCTGACACAGTTCACAATTAGCTAGGCAGTAGCAATTAGAAAAAGGCTGGGCCTGCAAAAAGCTATGTGAGGTTAAAAACACTGAGATATCAGAACAGTAAAATGGGGTTTTTTTGAGGCAGTTATCTTAAGCACTCCGCTTCTGTTTCCTCATGAGCTGCTTAGTGCCTGATGGAGGTGAAGGTTTGGGGACAGCCTGTATGACAGCATGAGTAAGACATGATCAGTTCTTACTGATGACAGGAAGAATGAATCTTTGGACCTTCTGAATTTCTGCACCCAAGGAAACGATTACCTGTTTTTTCCTGAAGGAAAGGCATTGCTCTTGGAAATTTGCTGACAATTTACTGTATTCTTTGTTACTGATGATAATCTGGAAGGCTGAAATTATTACCTTTAGTGTACACTTTGCAAAAATTGTTTGAGTATTTTATCTTAAAGAAGGTTAACTGGTCACTTAATGAGAAGAAGCTCAAATGTTGGACGGCTCCAGTTCAGCAGAAGGATTGAACATTTTAACAAGCATATAGTTCTCTACACTATGCATATTTGTAGAGTTGTGCAGACTGACACTGTCCTAAATAGTCTGGTTTAAGGTATTGTTAACACTAAATATCTCTATGCCGTAAATAAATCTCATGTGTTTTGAAGTCTGCTTCCCACCATGCTTAAACAGAACCTAATTTTAACAAATTGTAATATATAATGCAACTTCTAGATTTCATTTGATCTTTGCTTGTAACTTTTAAAAAATATTTAACTTCTGACATGACTTCAGTGGTATTTGCTGTGAATAGTTGCTACTTACTGTACATCGCTCCTTAAAATATCTGATTGAGGGAGGGGTAAAATTGAATAAAATATCTTCATGAAGAATACTGAAGCCTGTGCTTCTGTTAAGGACAATGTAAGAACTATTTCCCATGACTTACATTCATGGCTCACAACGTAAAATGAAGCAAAAGAAACCAAACAGGAACCTGTGCATTGTGAGGACCATCTTGTGAATATGAAAAGTGATTTGAGAAGACAATGTAGATCATGATAAATATGTATAGGAACATTTAAGGAAAGGGATTGAAGAAAGGAAGAAGAAAGCAGACCTTAAATGTTTTTCCCCACTTCTTATCTCATTTTCCTTTAACTGAGGAATGCAGCCATATGAATGGGAGGAGGAGGAATTGGACTTGGAATCTCAGGAAAGGCTGCTCCATGGAAACTGTTTGGAAACAATGGGTTTCCAGGCAGTACTGGAGGAAGCAAAGAAGCAATAATGGTTGATGTGAGCAAACCCTAGTTTTGTCTTTGCCTTATGTGTTCTTCCCATGAGGAATTGATTACACATTGCAAGATGATGATCTTCATAGACAGTGAACCTCTTTATACAAAAAAGAAAAGTAGGGAGAGCAAGAAGGAAAACGATGTTTCCTGAAGTAAGCCCTCCAACTGTTGCTTGCTAAGGAGGTTTTTAGATTGGATAATATTACTAAAACCCAAAGGTTTTGACATTTGATCTGTGTTTATAAATCTTTGCACCAAATCCCATTTCTAGTAAGCCTTTCCACTTAGCCTATTACTCTTGAAAGACCTCTTTTTTTAATGAGTCAGAAAACGAACAGAGCCTCATGCCCTGCTCCCCTTCAAAAAAGCCATTTGGACAAGAAGCTTTGAAGACTTGATGGTAGACCAAGATGGGCATTCCCCTTTGAGAGCTTTAAATTAAAGGTAGTTGTGGGAGGGTATCTCTTGCTCGGCTCAGCCCAGCTGGCAGCCCGCCTTTCCCTGGGAAGCTCTGAGACTGCTCTCTGGCCTGGGGATGGTGGCAGAACTGGATGTAGGAAGAGGGAGCCTGGCTGTGGCACCTCTTTCCTGCTCAGCTGCTGCTTAGGCTGGAGAGGAACCTGTTGCTCTTTCAGGCTCTAAAGCTCCTACAGAGCTGCTGCTGCTCCCTGGGCCCCCTCTTGTAACAGTGTCCTCTGCTCCATCCTCTCTGAAAGGCTGGCTCAGCTGGCAGGGAGATTTTGTTTAACTCCCAGCCAAGGTAAGCAGAGGAAGAAGAGGGTCCCCTGTTGCCTAGGGGAAGCTTTCTTTTCTGGTGCAGAAAGGATAATGCATTTGGGTTCTTCCCTGCTCCCACCAGCCCACAGAGTTGTCCTGAAAAAGGTGGTAACTGCCATCAGAGAAATTGGTTAGGTGGTGCTTGCTCTTGGTCTCTATTTAGTGTTGCAAGAAAAATGCAGCAGTTGTTAAGGCGGTCTGGACACCAACAGTTTTGAGGACTGCAGGTTAACACCAATATCCAAATAGTTTTATCCTATAACCATTTGGGATCTCGTGCATGCTGTGGCCCACAGGCAGAACTGGTTTCGTGTATTGAATTTCATTTGGGAAGCAGGACAGTTGCATTCCATAGAGTGGAAATGTGGTGGTGTTCCAGCACAGCCTGTATAGAACTGGTGGCAGCAATAAAGGCAGCCCACACCATGGATAATTGATGTGTATGCACAAAAAGGGTCATAACCTGCTTGCCAGCCCTCATATAATCACAGTTATCTCTTCTTTTAAAAAGAAGTTGCGTTACCATTCCCTTACCTGTTAGCCACAGCTTCAACTTGGATCCTGAAGTATCTTCAGAGCTGTCCTTTTCAAGCAATGTGGATGTAAAAGCAGATTTCAAGAATATACTGTGACCTGCTGGGCTGTATCACTTTATCAACCTGAAGAGCCTCAAGTACCTGTTAAATAGGAATGTGCAAAGCTGAACACCTGAGAACTGCGTGATCTGTTACTTCCTTGCTGCCTTAAACTGTTAAAAAAAATTAAAAAACTCCCAAAACAGCTTAAATAAAAACAAAGTTCACATCTCTTTACAGCACTTTAAAAAATGTACTGTGGATTCATATGGTAGTCTCTTGTAATAAACCTTGTATTTCTTGGTTTCAGGATTAATAAAAAGAAAAAAAAAATCAAGTTGATTATATCTGTAGATGATACAGCCCCAAAAAAATGGTGATCATTGTCAAATGGGAAGACTGGTAAACTGTACTGGAATTTCTTCTTTTTCCTGGAGATAGGGCAATATAAACATAAATTTATTAAGGTCAAAAACATCAAATGAAAATCTACATAAATATGGCAAGTAAATGTAAACAGCTAATTTATCAATAGTTATAACAAGATTTTTCTTGAATAGATATGTGAATAACAGTATGGTGGTATGATTTTATTTTTTTTAAAAATAAGAGGAAAATGAGACCTGTTTTATCAGAATGAATTTCACTTCTGGAATAATTTCTTGACAGGTCAAGGTCCTGAAACCAAGAAAAAGTTGATAAGCCATCGCAACCTGCTCTTTTAATTTTGACAGGAGCTGGTCTCATGCTCTTACCTACTTTTTCACACACAAATTAGAAAGCAACTCAGTTGGGAAAGGATAAATAACAGCTGTGTGACTGATTTTATCTAACCACATTCGAGATTTTGGTGTGTAATATGAAGCATGTTTCATTGACAGTTACAATGTTCTCTGAAATTCCTTTCCAGTGTGTATCTATTTTTTAAATGGAAAAACAATAGTAATAAATGCAGTGGGTTGTACTGTAATGTTATCTAAATGTTCATCTTGTAGGTACCTTAGGCATTTTTGTTGTGTTGTAAAATTATTCACAGTGAGGAACTTAAACATGTGCAACATTTTGGGAAGGAGGAGAAAGCTATTGATGTATGCTTAAGAAGTTATTAAAAACCTTTGTGAGTGAAAGATTGGAAGCCTAAACTAAAATAATACTTTTTTATTTTGTGGCTGAAATTCTGTATATGACATTGGTCTAATTTATACAACCCGGGTTACTGAAGTGTGAACTATTAAACCAATAATATAAATGTTGCTGGGTAAATCAGATTATTGAAGAGAGAATCTGAAATGGTATTCATTACTCCTGCAGGGAAATAAATTTTGTGCTTAAAGCAGGGGAAAAAAATGAAGCAAAACCTTGTTCAGCTGGTGATCTCAACTTTTTCGAATAAATGTTCACTTGGATTTTAAACCTGGAATAGGATTTGGACCAATAATGCCGTATTGTTCTGGGACTAAAGTGTATTAATTCTGTGTTCTTATACTCTGAAGACATGAAGCTGCACTATGGTGATCTTACGGACAGCACCTGCCTGGTGAAGATCATTAATGAAGTCAAACCCACTGAGATATACAACCTGGGAGCTCAAAGCCATGTCAAGGTGAGTAGCTTCTAGCACTGAGAATTGTGAATGTGCGTTGGTGGTGGTATACTGCTTTGATTATTTTAGACTGCAGCATTTATAGCCATTTTAACAACTGCTAACTTTGACAGGTAAACACTGCCTTAAATCAAGATAGCTGTGTCTGCTGTGGCGCTGAATTACTGCATGAGTCTTGCTACTGAATGTATATTGAGATGTCAGAATAAGTGAGGTTAAATTGTCATTATCAACAAAATCCACACATTTTAAAAATCTGATTTTTCTACCGTATGAAACAACTTCTGCTGTAGAGTTTGCTGCTGATCGGTCCTAGTGGAGAAGTTATGCAGTGTTAGGCCAAACAGCGCTTAGAAACACATTATTCTGTTTGCATTAAAATCAACACATGTATCTGAGTGCATCACTTCTAGAAAGGCTTCGCCTATACCAGTTTTCATGCAGGTGGTATTCTTTGAAAGAGTGACCTACAAATAGAGAAAACAGCTTTGCTACTACTTGCAGTATTATAACATTTCTGGGTTTTTGGTTTGAAGAATCAAGTTATAGAAACTGAAACAAAAAACACCTGTTGAAGATAAGTAACTTGACCCTGGCAAGTACTGCTGCATCATAAAGAAAGCAAATGAATAGTAGAGAGGATAATTTTAATTTGTTTTACATATGTTAAGCTACATTGCTATATCATGGAAAAGCTCGATTTACAAACAACTGACCTCTATTTACTTGCAGAAACTTCATTCATACTTCATTTCATGATTACAGACTGAAACTGATGGCCAGGTAGCAAATTGTCATTGAAATAAATTGTGTGTCAGTCATATGTCCTGTCTTTATGGTGTGCAATGTGAAAGTATTCTTAAGTGGCAATATTCCCTGGCCTCTCTTGAGGTGAGAACTGAAGGAGCATTTAAGCCACGTGAAAATCAGTTTGGCTTTAGTTTCATAAATCAGCCTTCTTACAAAGAGCAATGTGTTGTTCCTATCACTCTGTAAGCCTCAAAACCCAGCAAGAGGAAATCATGTTGAAAGACTGCAGTTATTGACAAGGCAAGCAGCAGAATATAGAGATGAAATGAGAATAATTTTGCTTTTAAATTGCTTGCGTGATTGGATTATCCAGTTTGCTCTGTGCTAAACATGACTCTGGGTTTATTAGCTTAGGTACAGCAGTATAAGAACAAGGCTACATGAGTCCAAGGGCAGCTTTGGTCCAGAAGGCAATTTAACTGCTGCTTTGCAGAGTGAAACCTGAGCCAGCAAACCTTGCTGGGTATTTGCAGTCCACAGCTAGGTGTTCCAGCATTTCTTTTCTTGAACTAGTGCATTGGATAACAATCTCCATGGAAATTTCTTGTGTCCCTTAGGTGGTGTTAGCATGGTACTAATGTTGTAGTCCCAAACTATCTCCATGTGGCTGCTGCAGCTGCCAACAGCTTAAATCACAGCGCTGGGAGGGCATGAAGGGGCGGCGGTGGTGATGCTGCTATAGGTGCTTGCATGACGCTGCCGTGCGCTCTGGGAAAGTTTATTCCTCCAGTATCTCACTGCATGAACATTTTGAGCCAATGCAGATCTGGCACAGAGCCTTGGCTTTTGGACATCTAATGTGCCTTGGAGCACAATGAGGAGACATCAAAATGACTTTCTTAAAAGCTAGCCTGAATGCAGCAGGCCAATACTTAGGCAATGTTAGAAGTCCTATTGGAAGTCTTCAGGGACTTCTTCAGGGTGTGCTTATTTTGCTTCCTAGCATCTCCATTAATACTTCCGTTGTTGCAGTTGAGAGAATCTAGGCACCCCCAAGTCTGTTGACTGAGGTGGTTGGGGGACTTGACTATGGTATCAATGGGACTTAAATGCAGTCCAACAGTGCTTACCATTTTAAAATAATTCCCAATGTTAGGAGAGGGAGTAGAACTTGGCCACCGGTTAGGGGTGAATGTCTTCACCAGAGACCTGAACAGCTCTTACCATTAAACTTTGGTTATGTGAACATACTGGTTTTGCTGTGTGCATCATGTTTGGTGAAGGAGGGAAAAGAACTAATCTTAGCTTGCTTCACATTCTGGTGACTTTGAACCAGTGACATCTTCAGTATTTTTTGGTGGTGTTTATGTTGGCTTGTGTTTATGCAGAATAAAGTTTTCTATCGCTCTCACTTCCAGTTAGTTTGTGAGCCATGCTGAAATGAAGGAAAATAAAATAATAGGAAGTTGGTCTGGTTTCCTGTAGGAAACCAATGAAGATGAAATTGGTTCTTGGAATGAACCCACAGTAGTCTGGGAAATACTGTCAGAGAAGACGTTTTTCTGAATCATAAATAGTGAGGAATATGACTCATAAAGTAGGTCACTGAGAGGCTGATCTGATCTTGTACACGGGAGAAAGTGAGAGAAGACTGAAACTTGTTCCTTATTAAAAACAGTAAACTTAACAGAATGATATCATCAGCAGGAACAAATTATCCAGCGTGCATTCCTGTCTGTTTTGGTGAGAGATGGGGATTAGCTCTCGGCACTGTAGCTTCTCCATTGGATGTTCAGAAAACAGTAGCATATTCACTTCATCGTTACTAAGTAAACAGTTTAGCCTCATTTTCTCTATCCAGTCTTTATACGTCCTGCTGCTTTGGCTTTTGGTGCTTTGGGAGTCTGGTGTGCTGACCATGATTTGTTTTCATTTAATTAGGTTTCATGGGAGTGATTGTTTGCAGTATATTGATTCTAAATAATAATCTATTACTGTGTATAGGTAGCATGCAGATGGCTTAATCTAAATTCTGTTATCTATAACTCTATATTCATATACCCTCTCTGAATGTCTTGAAAATCAATTATACAAATGCTAGGTTGGCTAAAATGATATAAATGTCTCTTCTTGCACAGTGTTTAAGTAAATGCGCACACATAGATAGTTACAAGTTCATATCTTATTTTTTTCTGAAGGACAAGCGATCTCATCAGTATTTGACTGTGCTGTAAGGTTTTTTGTCTTGAGTTGTATTGAACTGGTGAAGCTGGTAAATATTTTTTTTATAAACTTCTGAAGTAAAAAGGCAGTGTAACTGTAGTAAAAGATCTCTTGCTTTCAGCACTCGAAACATGTTGTACTGAGCAGTTAAATGTAGGCCTGAAGAAATGGCTCTGGTTTTATCGCTATTGCTATCCTAGTAGTCATGTATTAAATAGCCTAGTCCCATTTGGCTGTAGTGCAGATAGCCACAATTGTTCAGATTACTTCTTTAAATTGTACTGGGTAGTAGAAGGTTATTTTGCCTACTTACTGTTGGCATTTGTTGCCAGAAATCTTATAGCGAATGTGTTTTATGAGATACAAAAATAATAGGTTTACTTTTCTGTGACAGCTGTTCCTTACATATGCAGCATGGATGTATTACTGAAGACTAAAACCTTACTTGCGTGTAACTACATTTAAAAACCCAGTAAATGTTCAGTTTGTTTTTTTTCACCTTGCAAGATGCATACAGTTTTTTTTTCTTCTTTAGTTTAGGGGATATTTAAGTTCTAATTTAGTTTTAAGTCCTTGCAGACATATGGGTGCTTGGAGTCATGCAGAAATTAATTTTAAGAAGGAAACCCTACCACTGCTAGCTGAAAGGTGAAATGTAAAAATCAAGGGGCTTTTAGCATATAATGCCTCACTCGAGTAAGGATCTCTTTACACTTGTCTATTGAATTCAGCTTTATATCTAGCTCCTCCATTTTTCCTTCTATATTTTTGTGCTCTCCAAAGAGAAAGCCCCTCAGTCTTGGGAAACCTTTAGTCTCCTCTTTCCCCATGCTGGCAAAATTAAAGAACTTACTCATTTCTGATTATTTTGTGGTTTTATCTGCATCAAATACTGACCCCTAATTACTGTGAACCAAACATGTTATGAACTACTAATTGATTTCAACCCCATGCCTGTTAATGTGACTGTCTGTTTTCATGCTGCATGGAGGGTGAAGTGGCAGCAGGGAAGATGAAGAAACAAAAAAATAGCAACAAGGTCTTCAGAGCCTATGGAGGAAAATTCCAGCTTATGTAAAAACCTGTGCTCATGTGTCTCTGCTGCATCCTGAAGTTATAGCTTGCATGCTGGGTGGTGGGAAAGTGGGATTGCTGCAGGGAGGGGAAACTTGAAATACACAAGCAAAAGTTTACATCATATAATTTTACAGAATGGTTGAAGGTTGGAAGGGACCTCTGGAGACTGTCTAGTCCAACCCCCTTACTCAAAGTAGAGTCATAGAGCAGGTCTGTGAACCAAACATGTTATGAACTACTAATTGATTTCAACCCCATGCCTGTTAATGTGACTGTCTGTTTTCATGCTGCATGGAGGGTGAAGTGGCAGCAGGGAAGATGAAGAAACAAAAAAATAGCAACAAGGTCTTCAGAGCCTATGGAGGAAAATTCCAGCTTATGTAAAAACCTGTGCTCATGTGTCTCTGCTGCATCCTGAAGTTATAGCTTGCATGCTGGGTGGTGGGAAAGTGGGATTGCTGCAGGGAGGGGAAACTTGAAATACACAAGCAAAAGTTTACATCATATAATTTTACAGAATGGTTGAAGGTTGGAAGGGACCTCTGGAGACTGTCTAGTCCAACCCCCTTACTCAAAGTAGAGTCAGCTAGAGCAGGTTGCAAAGGACCTTGTGCAGTCAAGTTTTAAGTAGGATGCAGACTCCACAACCTCCCTGAGCAACTTGTTCCCTCACCCATGCAGTTCCGTCACCCTCACAGTAAAAAAACAACACTCACCACCACAAACTTTTTTTCATATTTTTAAATGGCATTTCCTGTATTTCAATCTGTGCCCATTGCCTCACCTCCTGTCACTGGATACCACTGAGAAGAGTCTGTCTCAGTCATCTTTACTCTTCCTACCACCCATCAGGTATTTTTATACACATCAGTCAGATCCCCCTCTGAGCCTTCTTCAGGCTAAACAAACCCAGCTCTCTCAGCCTCTCCTCATCTGACAGATGCTCCAAT